AACGTCGATCTACGAAAGAAACAACGAAATCAGGGATTGCTAAAAACATGCAGTTCTCTTCAGTGCGTTATCGTAGCGAGACAGAGAAGAACTAGTTTTTGCGTTAGTGAAATAGCTTTTTATATTTTTATTTTATAACTATCTAAAACGGAAAAAAATCGAAAAGCGGCTTCAAAACACACAATTATTTTTGAATTCGCCAAAAATTCTATCAGTTTCTGATACTTTAGTTTGGGCTTATTTGATTTTAAAACATTGTTTTTAGTTGTTTGTGGGCCTTATCCCAACCTAAAAATGGATTTATACAAAACTAATAGTAAATATGCGTTGCACGCATCACATTTTATTTATATATAATACGTAATATATCTCGCGGTGACGGTCGCGAGTTCAATGCTTTTTTCCCATCCAAAAAGTGCATAACGTCGATAAAGAAGTTTTCACTTCAAAACATAAATATCGCAAACAAATCGGAACATTTCAGATTAATAAGATGAAGAGCCATGTTCTAAAAATGCCACTGAAAGTAATTAATTAATTGTCGAGTATATAGAAAATGTGGTCTATAAAATTAATAAAGAATTATTTTAGATTAAACATTATAAACATTTTAAAACGTCATTTTTTATGTGGTTAAGTATACTTCATGCGGTTAATTGTAATTATTCTATGGTAAATAGAAATTAAAATGGACTACAATAAAATGAATTGTAGTTCAAATCTAAAAATAATTTTAACTTACTACATTACGAACATACATCATCTAAAGCAATTTCTAGAAACTGGTTTTTTAGTTATTTGAGCTTTCCCAGTGTATCGGTCTCACGCTTCATCAAGCGAAAATATATCTCCTGATTGATATTTCTGGGCTAGGAAAGGCCCTAAGCTGTATTCTATACAATTTCCGAAACCCACTTCCGGTTTTCAACCCCATTTATCGAATTGGGTTTTAAAATAAAAGAAACCCGTATTAACTTCAGTTGTTTGAGATAAGTCGTGACGTTTGGTTAATCGGTTTGTGAGAGAAATCACTAAAAATCGGTCTGCAAAACGCCTACTTCCAGTCTGGTGCAATATTTATTATTTAATTTTAAAGATTTATAATATTATAAATTATAATCTAAAAATTGATCTTTGATTAAAGAAAATATATGGTAATTCTTCTTCTTTTCGTGCTTTATCCTTTGTAGGGCTGTGTTTATAAACATTAAGACATTTTAAGAAAACTTTGAGTTTTGACAAAAAAATTTTAAATTTAATTCATATTGAAATGAGCAGTCCATTATTGCAAAATTTTACTTTTTTCTTATTGTTATTAGTAGAAAAGGTTATAAAATAAAATATTTATTTATTATAGTTATAAATAATATATTTTATCAATCATTTTTACAACAAAATCAAATATTACTTACAATTTACATACCTAATTTGACTATTTTTGTTTAAAATTATATAAAGTTGATAACAATTAAGTTGTGTAGAATATATTGCCAAAGTTTTTAAGTTAGGAAAAGTAATTATAAAAATAATAAAAATAATTCAAGAAAAATAAATACGTATAGATTTGATTTTCAAGTAAAAAAGGATTTTTTTGTAAAATGTATTGTTAAAAGATATTTATAAATATAATACATAAATATTTAACTTACCTATCATTTCGTAACCTTATCTAATAATAATAATAATACCTGCTGCTCAACACCAATGCTGGATGAATCGAAGATACGGCACACAACTGCCAACGCTACGTTACTGCCCCCTACGAACACGTCACTACTGAAGAAGTTTCAAATACTATCAAAGAGCTTTATAACTGGAAATCTCCTGGACCATATGGCGTTCAAAACTTCTGACTTACGAAGATTTGGAGTATGTGTGAGTGCTTATCAGCATTAATTAATCACACTATTTCTAATCCGCAGCAAATTTCATCTTTCCTAACCCAGGGAAGAACTTATTTAATACCAACGGATCAAAATAACACCCAAGATCCAACTAAGTACCGCCCAATTAATTGTCTTTCAACTCTGTATAAATTGGTCACATCCTGTGTAGCCCGGCGTGTTAGCCAACACTGTGCTCTAAACAATATAATAGAGCCTCAACAGAAAGAATACGCTAAAGGTTCCATGAGCTGCAAAGAACAACTTATCATCGACTCTAACCATCATTTGTAACCAAGTATATAGCAAAAAAAGAATCTGTTTACTGCTTTCATCGACTACAAGAAAGCGTTTGATTCAGTGTCGCATAAATGGCTTATAGATATATTAAAACTATATAAAGTCGATGATTACATAATGACCTTTTTAAACATATAATATCAGATTGGAAGACTAAAATTTACCTCCAAAAACCGGGTGAATATTAAAACTGAAAATATTTCAATTAACCGGGACCTATTCCAAAGAGACTTTTTGAGTATACTGTGGTTTTTGTCTAGCGATGAACCCCCTATCCCAGCTACTGAACTCAACTGACATAGGTTTTAGCATCAAAACTAACGCTACTGTTCTGGCAAAGCTTATTCATCTTTTGTATATGGATGATTTAAAACTATTGGTCCACTCGAAGCCACCTGGATTAGATGCTGAAAACAATAGAAAGTTTCTCCAATGATATTAGTATGCACTTCGGTTTTGACAAGTGCCGTGTCTTAAATATAATCAAAGGAAAGGTTTAGTCCGGCGGATTCCATATGCAAAATGGCCAGAATATCGAGGCCATGGGTGTAAATGATATGTATAAATTCCTCAGAATAAAGCAAGCGCGGAAGATTGACCATAAGCAAAATAAAACTAAGATAACTACTGAGTTTATACGAAGGGTAAAACAGCTGCTTTGTTCACACCTTGACAGTAAAAATTTGTTTAAGGCACTAAAAACTTACGCATGTTCAGTGTTTAGCAACTCATTTAGTATTGTTAAGTGGACAAAAAGGATATAGAAAATCTTCAGCGAAAAGTACGAACACACCTCACAAAGGCACAAAAACACCATTCTTAAAGTGCAAAAGAAAGAACGATGAATATAAGTGAACAATTCGAAAAACCGATTAATAATTTAAGAATTTATTTTCAGATATAGGTTGATATATCTACTCTACATCGCACTATTTGTGCAGTAGATATCATAACACCGATCAAACTTAGCGAGCCAGAAATACGCATAAACCATCCTATCAAGGACAAAAAAATGCGTACCTGGATGGATAAACCTCTGCACGGGCGATATCTCAATAAAAATAAAGTCAGTCTAGACTATCTCGACAATATAGCGACGAACTATTATTTGACATCAGGGAAGATGTTTCCTGAAACGGGCATTCAGGATCAGGTTATACCAATAAAAAATTACCTTAAATATATCATCAAAGACCCTCAAGTCCAAAACGACAAATGCCGATATATATGTCAAACCCAAGAAACCACCCAACATATTACTAGCGGTTGCCAGGCATGATTCAATAGGGGAAATCCTGAAGAAACCATCAAGAAGTAGCTATCAAACTAGGACTTTAAAAATGACAACACCAAGCTCTGTTGGGACCGCACTGTGCTTACAAACCAAACAGTCGCACACAATAGACTTTCTACTACTGGAGTCATTCCGAAGAACATCTCTATAAGACCATGTAAAAAGCTGTACTACTCTCGATGACCAGATGTGTACGAAAAGTTTAAGGAGTTACTCCAGCATACCAAGTCACCTAGGGCTCGATAACATGGAAAAAGTTCCACCAGAGCTTAATCCTTTTGATAGCCTAGATATGTGGGATGAGTGAATTTTCCGCTTAGAGGGAGTGTGAGCCGTATGGCCAAATCTGAAGAAAAAGTAAAATTTTGCAAAATATATATTTATTTTAAATTCTTTAAACAAATAACTCGGTTAAATAAACAATTCACAAATTAAATAATTACATTTTTATAATCTATGTAATGAGATTCCTCAAATTAAAAAAAAAACAATAATTTTTGTTCATTCGAACCGGAGATATTGCGACTTTTATAAATTTGAATTTATGAATTATATTACATAGAAATAATAATAAGTCGAGAAGGTGTAAATCGCTCCGCTTTTAAACCATTCACCTTTGGCCCATTATGGACGGTTTATTTTTAAAGTAGTCCTATTAATTTTTTTTACATTAGAATTTTTTTCCTTTAAACGGTGCTTTTTAAATGTCTTAATGTTAATAAACAAATATATGTAAACTTCTGTATATTTTTTATAGATGTTCCATTCAATGCTAGATTTTCTGCCATATTTTGTTTTTCCTAATATCATCAATTTTGCTTTTGAGACGTTTAGTTTTAATCCGTTGTTTCCAGATACTGCATTCACTATTGGAGAATATCTGGAGCGCAGTTTATTCATTTTGATATCCAGTTTGTCATGGTGGATCGATAGTTAGTGGTTAGCCTGGATTTTTCTATATTCTCTTAGAAGAGAATGACTTCTTCGTAGTTTCGGTGCTGGAATGTGACTCAGAATGGAAAGTCAAGACGTCGGTGTTGATCTAATTGTACCTGAGATCATTCGTATTGTCTGGTTTAATTGAGTGTCAACAATCTTCATGTGTTTGCTATTAAGCCAAACCGGGGAAAGATATTCAGCATTTTTGCTGACGTTCTTTGTAAATGTTCTTTAAATATGTAAAAAATTATGTAAAGAGTTAGTCCAAGACGTTTTCGTGTTGAGTTGTATTGAGATGTATTTTGGAATCATAAAGTCGTCAGCGTAGCCAAATTTCTGTAAAGTTGTTTCAGGCATGCCTGCGATGTATAAATCAAACAGTAAGCTTGTCAAAACAGATCCTTGCTGTAGTCCATTACTGAGCTTTATTTGCACACTTTCGTAGCTTACTATTTTTATACGTCCTCCCTTTAATTACTCCTAGTAGTATATGCGGACTGCATTGATAAAATAAAAAATATTTTATTTATTTATTAAGTCATTACTTAACATTTGTGATACTTATCGAACGTCTTTAATTTCAGGTATAGAGTCTTTAGCCAGAAATGGAGACTTACGCTTAAGGAGGGAACTCCAAGGCCTACTGGAGAACCTCTCCGATAAAAGACACATCGGTAGTTTGGCTCGGAGCTATGATTTACCATTTAACGGCAAAAGATCTTTAAGCAGCTTGGCCAAGTCCGGAGATCTTCTGAAGCATATGCAGTACAAACGAAGCCCAAACTCACAGGAGCCGGTTGGTAAGTAATTCGTAATCTCATATTAAACAATTGTAAAAATATTACAAAAAATTCAGGGATAAATTTACATTTTATAGAAAGCTAAATTTTTTCTTTATATTAACTTGTTTATTTAATTTTAAAAACAAACAAATCGTTAGGTATTTTACATTATTGCCAAAAAAAATTGTCCATTTAGGTGGCTTCTGACTAAACACACCGTAAAAATCATACATGGAGTGAGGCAAGGCTGCATTTTGTCGCCCCTAATCATCAATCTCTAATTTAAAAGAATATTTAGCGAAGCTAAACAAAATTAAAAAAGGCATTCTACTAAACGAATACTAATTGGACAATATCGGATATGTAGATGTGCCGGAGACTCGGATTGCGCCCTTTTCCCCTTTTTCTTTAACTACATTAAGCATACCCCTTGGACTCTATGTAGTATCTAGAGATCACAATGTATGGTTTGTTTGTTAGCTTGTGAAAGCTGTGATCATTTCTAAGAGTTTTTTTGTAATATGGTTAGCAACGTTTCCTTGTTAACTCCGAGACTTTTTTGAACTAGTCATTTAAGCTCCAAAACATCCTGTACATCCTTACTATTTCTACTAAATCTACCAAATCTGATTAACAGGTAAACTTTCCGAAGCAGCTTTAAAACTCTTCACTCTGTGCAATATTTGTCGTAAATAACATTAACGATCTATCTATATCTAAAGAACAAACACCTATTTAATCCTTAAATCTTACAACACGATAAAGAAACTTAACGAGAATCTTTTATAACGTCCTTATTCATTAAATTGCAGAAGCTGGAGCCTCTAATACAATTAGTAAACAATCTCCAGACAATCTAACCGGCTACAAGCAGCCATTGTCGGAAGACAAAGGAGCATCGGGAGAATCAAAGAGAGGAAAGAGAGAAGCGGATTATTATTATGAAAATGGGAACGAAAATTATTCACCGGTCTATCAAAACACGTACGATTATGACGACTTGATCCAGGATCTGCATGACGCTTATCCAGAAGTAGGAAAACGGTTTTTGGGTACGTGACTATGCATGTGTTTCGCTGTTTTAAGAATTAGAAATATTTTTTAGTGTAGCTGCTGTGGTATTGAATACTTCCAGTAGAGTGGGGTATTTAACGATTGTATATTGAAAAATATTTACATTTTATAAAAAGAGAGTATCCATATAACCTTTAAAAATGTCGCAATCTTTTTCTTTTTGAACTCATTTGTTCTGCGCTATATATATAAAAAATTCTTTATTTAATTTCTACAAGTAAATTGAACATTTATGGTTGAGGGGACATAAATTACTGAGCATTAAATAAAGCACCTAAATTTTAACTCAGCTTAGTTATGTTGGCACTTTATTGTTATCGAGAAGATGTTTCAGCAAGGATTTATTTTGCAGTGCTAAAGACCTTGTCGAAATGGCGTCAAGAAATTGGTTTTTCTTCTTGTTCTGTTTCTTCTTGTTCTTTTTGTTGTTGTTCTTCTTCTTCTCAACTTTTTCCTTTTCAGTAGTCGCTGTTCTTTATTCTTCTTCATCACTTATTTCTGTCCATCGGGTCTTCTTCACCTAAACCTTTCTCTCTTAAATTCTATGCCACACCGTCCTTCCATCTCCTCCTCGGCTTTCCTCTACATCTCCTTCCATCAACTTCTAACAGCTCTAACCTTCGTTCCACATAGTTTTGCAATCTTTATTCTTGAATCTTTTTTGAGACTGCAATTCCCCGGCTTTTTTTAATCAAGTCGCTGATCCTATCCCTTCTAATTTTATCCAAAATCCACCGTAACAATTTTATTTCAGCTACCTTCATCTTCTTTTCCTGAATCTTCTTAACAGCCCACACCTTATCACTTCACACCAACGCAGATCTCACCACACTCTTATTTATCTTTCATTTCGGCCCTTCCCGATTTTTCGATCACAGAGTATCTCGCTCATTCGCTTTGGGTTAAACTAACCAGCATGTATCCTGTCGGTAATTTCTCGATCGAGTCTCCTATTTTCTGTTATTTAGAAGTCAACGTATTTAAATTCTCCTTGTTCTTAAACTTGTTCCAGTTTTTTATGCCCTCAACTATTCTTCTGTTTTCCAACTTCTCCTTGAACAATTACTTGCTCTACTCTACTAACACGATATCATCAGTAAAGAGTAATGGTCAAAGATATCCCTCCCTTACTTTTTCTGTCAGTACATCCATAACAAGATTAAACAGGTAGGGACTCAGTAAAGAGCCTTGACGCAAACCAACAGTCACTGGAAATCTTTTAGTCAATTCGAAACAAGTTTTTACCTCATACATATCCTTCACGAATCTTATGTACTTCTCGGGAAACCTTTTTCTCCCATATATCTCCATAGCTCTTATCTACGAACTGTATCTTACAGATCTTTGGTATTTATAGATCTCAAGATCTATAAATACCAAATGTAGCTCTCTTTTCTTCTCGCCCTAGATCTCTATCAACAAGGCATCCATTACCCTCCTTCTTGACATAAACTCAAATTGTCCTTTAATCAATCAATGTCAATTTCATTAACATTTGCTCTACACTTCTCTCCCAAATTTTCATTGTATGCGGCATTAAGTGTATCCCTCTATAATTCTTACAGTTCTAAATGTCCCCTTTATCTTTATAAAATGATACCATTACATCCTCTCGCCATATGTTGAGCATCCTTTATTCCTTATGTATCCTACTCAACATTTGCCACAAATTATTACCTCCTTCTTCTCCTAGAGCCTTCCAAACTTTCACTTGTATTTTATCAGGTCCTACTGCCTTACCATTCTTCATCCAATGTAACATCTTGACAACTTTATCTCTCTCTGTCTCCGGTATTGCATTCCCATTTGGGATCCCGCATCCTGTGTCTCTCCTCTGGTGTTCTTCATTTAGCAACTTTCTAAAGTACTCATACCGTCTCTGCTCTATTTCAACATCTGTTCTTAACACTCTTCCATTCACACTCTTGCCGCACGTGGGTTAAGTCCTTTGATGATTTATTCCTTGCTTTAGCAATGTTGTGTAGCCTTTTATCCCCTCGGGTGTTTCCAACTCTTCATACAGCTATGCTAATGATGATCTTTCCTTGAATTTTCTAAATCCAGCATTATCCAACTTTTACAGTTATATAATAAAGTACGTGTGGACATTTTCATAAAAATGTTGAGGATTGTCTCGTTTCATGTCTTGTTTTTCAATTGCCTATAAATTCTTCTTGTTGTTCTTGTAATAGGAAGAGATATTTTCATTTCTATTATTTGTCATACAATAAGAACACATAATTAAAAATCAATATAAAACGTTATATGGAGTATTACAAACGAACATCTAATGTATTATTAATATAATGTAAAACAAAATGACGGTATTAGATTTTGATTTGATACAGAGCAGAAACAAGCTGCATATACGTATTTCGATCTCTTTAGATCTCCTCAGTACGGTATAGTTACTACTCCATATCAAACCAAAATATTTTCAGGTCGTAGATTATAGTTATTAAAAATAACTATTTACGGACGTAACTACGCCATCTAAGAACAAAAAAAAAATCATACGATTTTTACCTGGCGAAATCGAATTCAAATATAAGCCGCCGTGCTCCCTAAAACTTGCGAAGCAAACAGCTTGATGAATGAATCGGCAAGGGAGTCTAAAAATTGCACTCCAAATGCCGTTCATCATGGCTTATATTCGTAGTGAATTCGATTTTCTGCGAAGTTGTCCCAGGTAGGTCCTCGATGTATAAATTAAACAGTAAGGGTGCCAAAACAGATCCGTGCGGCAGTCACACTATGGAAGACACTTTAAGTTGCCCATTGTGACATAAAAAGGCCTGTCAATGAGCATGCTATCAATGAGTTTAGTTACTTTTTGACACGGAATGACACGGAATAGTCTGCAGATTAGAACTTGTCTCCAGACAGTATCGTATGCAGCTGATAGTTCAATGAAAGCAACGGATGTTTTTGGCTTTCTTTAAAAACCTGCTTCAATATGTGTTGTTAAGGATATGATCTGATCTGTGCAGCTGCGGTTAGGTCTGAACCCTGACTTCTCAATAGCTATGAATTCAAATATGTTTCTACTGTTTTTGATGTAGATTAAGCATTTCAACAGTTTATAGAGCCTAGCAGCAGCTCAGCAGGGCAATCGGTCGGTAGGTTTGGAGCTAATCACTTGACTTTCCTGGTTTTCATATGGCTATAATGGAGGCTTTTTTAGTAAATGGGGGATTTCTCCTGATTTTAACATATCTGTTCAGAAACCAGCCAGCTACTTCCTAGCATATTTGCTACAGTGGAGTAAAATATCTGGATGGATTTTACCAGAGCAGGGTGCCTTTCTAATGTTGCTGAAATAATTTCGTCTGGAGTAAACTTGTCAGAGTATTTAGATTTAGACGCGCATGCAGACTTTAGTATTTTTAGCTCTTGTTTTACTTTGATGGTCTGGTCACGATCTCTAGGTGCTCTTGAGGTTGCTACAATGTGGGAGGCCACTCTGTTGAGAGCTATTGGTACTTTCTCTCTAGTTGGGAGTCAGCCACTACCAAGTTTTCTAAGTAAACACCATGTTTTCTGCTTAATTTACCAAAATCTAATTTTTCCATAGTTTTCATCCATTTTTGTCGTGTGGCTGCATCCAAACTGTGCAGTGGTTCGTCCGCAATTTCTCGGTCTTTTCTTTCGTTGTATTCTTGATACAATTTTTTACATTTTTCATTTTATCCTGGGATATACTCCTTACGATATCCTTTGGGTACAATTTTTTCTTCGCTGTAGAGATAACAGAACATTCTTTTAAAAAATTATAGTTTTTTAATAAAAAATATCCTAATTTCATTCTTCACATCCTATATTTTTTCTTAAAAAACAAAATTTATTTTACAAAAAAGTCAGTAATTCAAGAATCCTAAACATATCTTATTTACATAGCGTTTAAAGCCACCTCATCCGTCAAAAATCCTTTGTGAATTTTAGCTCTACAAAGCACGTCCGAATTTATTTACCATGAGATAAAAATTACAAAAGCGTGCATGTAATCCTGCAGATAAAAGATTTAAAAATATTATGTGGCTGTAAAATAGTGTCTGCATTGCGTATGTTAACACGAATGATAATCATACTTATGTAGCTGTAAACTATTGGTCCAAAGGTTATTAACATAAACATTATGTTTTATGCATTATGTCGTAAAGTATGAAGCAAATTCATTCTTTTAGATTAAAAATATCAGAAATTTATCGACGAAGAGCTGCAGTATATTGTATAGTTGGAATATTATGTTGGAAACATAATGTTTTTCAAAAATTTCACGATAAATTCTACTGTGGAATAAATTATCTATTGTAGGTATGTAGGTATACCTTGTCAAAAACTCAAGATATGCTAATCAGACTACGTTCACTTTATTGCAATACAATAAATAACATACAATACCATAAACTCCTTGTTAATTTATGTCATAAAAAAACTTCTTTGTCATATACGTTGTATACCAGATCCCAAGAATTACGTTTTAAATTTATTTTTGTAGACTTGATTTCAAATTTGGAAATCGATAGATCTGGTCTACTGGCAAGGATCGATTTCACCGTAAACTTATAATCTCAACGAAAATAAGGGCTCGTGCGACAATCGTAGCGAACTACGATTGCCTAGTGAAGTTACATTGTTTTGAGCCTTTCGACTCTAAGAACTTCAAGAGATATCATTGCCACCTTTGACGGCCTTAGAAAGAATACGGCCTTAGAGGCGTTTAGGCATAATCCCACGGATGGTAGCTTTTCACCATTACCCGCTCGAGTAAGTGCGTCAACCAAATGTCTGAACCTGCGGTTCCTCTCATACTGAGCAGGATTACTATCGCAACGACGATTCATCAGTAGGGTAAAACTAACCTGCCTCACGAAGGTCTAAACCCAGCTCACGTGTCCTGTCTATAGGTGAACAGACCAACGTTTGGCGAATTCTGCTTCGCAATGATAAGAGCCGACATCGAAGGATCAAAAAGCGACGTTCGTA